CATCCATCCATGGATCCATCGATCCATCCATCCATCCATCCATCCATCCATCCATCCATCCATGGATCCATCCATCCATCCATCCATGGATCCATCCATCCATCCATCCATCCATCCATCCATCCATCCATAGATCCATCCATCCATTCATCCATACATGGATCCATCCATCCGTCCATCCATCCGTCCATCCATCCATCCATGGATCCATGGATCAATCCATGGATCCATCCATCCATTCATCCATCCATCCATCCATCCAATCATCCATGGATCCATCCATCTATCCATCCATCCATCCATCCATCCTTCCATCCATCCATCCATGAATCCATCCATGCATCCATCCATCCATCCATGGATCCATCCATCCATGGATCCATCCATCCATCCATCCATCCATCCATCCATCCATCCATCCATCTATCCATGGATCCATCCATCCATCCATCCATCCATCCATCCATCCATCCATCCATCCATCCATGGATCCATCCATCCATCCATCCATCCATCCATCAATCCATCCATCGATCGATCCATCCATGGATCCATCCATCCATCCATGGATCCATCCATCCATGCAACCATCAAAGGATCCATCCATTGATCCATCCATCCATGGGTCCATCCATCCATTCATGGATCCATCCATCCATGGATCCATCCATGGATCCATCCATCCATCCATCAATCAATCCATGGATGCATCCATCCATGGATCCATTCATGGATCCATTCATGCATCCATCCATTCATCCATCCATGGATCCATCCATCCATCCATCCATCCATCCATGGATCCATGGATCCATCCATGGATCCATCCATGGATCCATCAATCCATCCATCCATGGATCCATCAATCCATCCATCCATGGATCCATCCATCTATCCATCCATCCATCCATCCATCAATGGATCCATCCATCCATCCATCCATCCAACCATCTATGGATCCATCCATTCATCCATCCATGGATCCATCCATCTGGATCCATCCATCCATCCATTAATCGATTCATGGATCCATTCATCCATGAATCCATCCATGGATCCATCCATCCATGGATCCATCCATCCATGGATCCATCTATGGATCCATCCATCCATGGGTCCATCCATCCATCCATCCATCCATAAATCCATGCATGGATCCATTCATCCATTCATCCATCCATCCATCTATCCATCCATCCATCCAAGGATCCACCCATCCATCCATGGATCCATCCATCCATCCATCCATCCATTCATCCATCAATGGATCCATCCATCCATCCATGGATCCATCCATCCATCCATCCAT